ATTTTTGTAGTGTCAGTATGTGTTCAGCCAATTTGGCTGTTAGGTTTGTTGCATTTATTGCACTTTTATTTTTCAGTTTATTGTTATCAAAGTAATTCCTGCAGAAAGTAATTTCTTCTTTCATGAAAGATTGAGGGAAATGTAGGAAGAATGCGTCCCCAAGATCACTATAGTGATTTGTGGGTGATATGTCTGGAGAAGTCAGTTCGTTGAATTCCAGTGAAGATAAATTTCTCAGTAATCGTCTCGTAATTACCACTTACTGTCAGATCCAATTCTGACTGTACACTTTAGAGTTCTGGAGTATTTGCTTATTACAGGACACTGTCGTAGTTCCTAAAGGTTACACACAGATGGTTAAAACACAGTCATTACCCAAAGAACTGCACTCTCTTGAAGGAGACAGATAATGTAAATTAAAACTTCTAATGCAGGTAGAATTGTATTTTACAAAAGAGAGAGGTACAGTGAGAGTGGCAAAGGATTGTGGGAAATTAGGGAATTATTTGTAACTGATGGATCAGAGGTACTTTCATGGAAGATGTGACGTTGAAACTAACTAAGACTGGAATTATGAATAGGAATTTGAGAGGCAAAAGCAAGGGAGGTGTCCTGTAGGCTGAGGGGAACATGATTGTGAAAGCGCCTGGCTGGTCCCCTCAGGGAGCAGGAGATGACCCAGTGATACAGGAGTGGGAGGTGAGAAGGTGTAGCGGAATGTTTCCTATGTTTACTTAGGGTCAGAGGTTGGCTGACATTCTGCTTTTTAAAAAATAGGCGTCTTTGATGGCTTTTGTGAGTGAGACTGATGTGTTTGGCTTTGTGTTGAAGAGAGCTCTAGTATTGGTATAAAAGGGAATGAGGAAGGCAAGATTTGGACAGTGTAACGGAAGGGGCGGCTGCAGGAGTGCAGTCGAGGTGTGGAAGGGCCCCTGGGATGAAAGGAGTGGGCGTATGAGAACTCGGTGGTAGAAGTAACAGCATGAACAGTTTGTCTGAATGTGCCAGGTGCAGGGCAGACAGGAAGGTGTCACAGATGGCGGAGATTTATAAACTGGCTGACTTAAAGTGTTAACCTGTTAATACGTGTGCTTCTCTTTTTTCTTAATAGGAAAGTACTATTCTACTTTATTAATCTTTTCAGAGACTAATTGGGGATTTTTTAAAAGTGCTGTTTCTGTGTTGTTTCTTTGTATGACATTCTTTTCTATACTCCTTTCCTTTGTTTTATCGTAGCTTAACTGGTATTTCTTCTTTACTCACTAGATACTCTCAGTTTATGAATTTTTATTGAGGTTCCTCAAGCTAATGTGTACTGGTGTCATTGTCATTTTGTTCTAAATATTTTGGGTATAGTTATACTTGCCAATTTCTGGTGTATACTATTATTGTTTATATGTTCATGTTACCTTCTGTGTCATGGATACACATAATTCAGGTGCATAACAACTTATAAAAAAGTGGAAAAAAATGGTGACCTTGGTTCATTTAATGTCCCAAATGGGCCACTCCAAGACTGGAAAGTCAGATGTTTGCACATGATACTGTAAAGTAGTGTACTACTAGGGTTTGAATTCATTATTTATTATCAAGGTTTTTTTTCCCATCTGACCAGGATCTTGAGACTCCAGGAACAGGATTTGTGAAGGTTTATCTTTTATTTCGTAGATTACCCGGAAGTATCATTTTCTTCAAGTCACTGCCTTTCTATTAGAAAAGAAAGGAGATGTTCATGGTGCCTTCTTAACCAGGAGGCCACCCATGCCCAGCTCCTGCTGTGCCTAGAAGACCTGTCAGGAAGGACGCCAGGAGGGGACTGCAGAACAGTGACCGACCTTGGGTCACTGCTGGGCCCAGGCAACAAGAAGCAACGAGTCCCTGTGGGCAGGAGGCCGGCATGTGCACAGACAGCAGAGCAGAGGTGCTGGCACCAGGTGGCCGGGTGGACACTGGGGTGCAGACTTCCGTCTCTCTCCACCTGCTGGCCTAGCTCTGCATGGGGCGATGGCCGGCCAGGGGCTTTAGGAAGGATGGGAAAACTGAAGTTAGGGGCAGAAGGAACTTCCCAGGGTTCACGTGGGGGCGAGTCCAGGGTGTGCGGTGCTGGCTTCCTGAGGCCAGGACAGCTCTGCTGCATCTCTGCTCACCCGGGCCAGGAGTGCCCCCCACCCCTGCTGTGAGCAGGTGGCACATGGCCAGCACCCTCTCCTTAAGCAGGGCAGGTCACCCCAGGGTCATTAGATTGGGGTCAGTTGGTGAGTTCAGGGGTGGGAACTCCCGCCTCCTCACTGTGACCCTGTCTGAGCCTCAATTTCTTCACCTTGAAATGAGGGGAGGGTAACAGTGCCAGCCTGGCCAAGGCAGGAGGCAGTGGTGGGTCCAGGCTTTAGCTCCAGGAGAGTTTGGAGGGGTTATGGGAGGAAGGGAGCTTCCTGGCAGGAGTGCAGGTGGGAGACTGAAGGGGACACCTGAGGGGCCATGTGACAGGCAGCGGGGTGGGCGGGGCAGAGAGGAGGCAGTTGGATGTCAAAGTCACAGCCAGAGACTGAGGTCTGACCCCATCCTCATCCTCCAAAGAATAGGTCACTCTTGATGTGAGGAGGCAGAGGTGGGAGGGGTCTCTGCACTGACATGGGCTCAGGTTCAGAGAGTGGGGCTGCAGGGAGGCTGGGAGATGCCTGGAATGACCTTTCTCCTCTGCTCCGCTGTCCTGCATCCCCTCTGGCTGGGTTTGTAGATCCTTCCCTGAAAGATGGGGTTGGGGAGGGGTGAGTTCAGAGAGGCCACAGAGGCCCAGGATGGTAATGACCCCCATGGCCACCATGGGGCGTGCAGGCAGGCCCAGAGCCCATGGGGCCGTGCCAGTCTGTCTGCCCATATGGGCACAGCCAAGGCTGCTGTTGGCTGTGGCCCTGGCCGGGGCTGCCCACTGTTCCCACCCAGGCCTAGGTGGGAGAGGGCGTACCGGGCCCCTGACTTCCTGTCTCCCTTTGAAATGTGAGGGCTTGGCTTCTCTGTTTCATTCAACAGGAAGTGGTCAGAGTAGTTGAAATCCCTTTTCTCTCCCAGTCTGCACATTTAGGTTCCAACCTAGTCTTTGTCCCTGAAAGATCAGCATGTAACCATAGCTCTGAGTGGAGCACTTTCTTTTTAACATTTTTTTTTATTGAGTTATAGTCAGTTTACAATGTGTCAGTTTCCAGTGTAGAGCACAGTTTTTCACTTACACATGAACATACATATTCATTGTCACATTCTTTTTTGTTCTGAGCTACCATAAGATCTTGTATATATTTCCCTGTGCTATGCAGTATAATCTTGTTTATCTATTCTGCACATGCCTGTCAGTATCTGCAAATTTTGAACTCCCGGTCTGTCCTTTCCCACACCCCACCCCCTTGGCAACCACAAGTTTGTATTCTATGTCTATGAGTCTGTTACTGTTTTGTATTTATATATATATATAATATATATATATGTGTATATATATGTATATATATATATGTTTGGTTTTTTTTTTTAAGATTCCACATATGAGTGATTTCATATGGTATTTTTCTTTCTCTTTCTGGCTTACTTCCCCTGGAGAGAGAGGGTTAGACGAGGAGAGGGCAGGCCCAGGGGAGGGCAGGCAAAGGACATGACAGGCCCAGGTGAGGGTAGGCCCAGGAGAGTGCAGCCCCATGAGAGGGAGGGGAGGCCCAGGAGAGGACAGGTCCAGTAGATGGCAGGCCATGTGAGGGGAGGCCAGGGAGATAGTGGGCAGGCCCAGGAGAGGGCTGGCCCAGGGGGAGGGCAGGTACAGGAGAGGGCAGGACAGGTGATGGCCGGCCCAGGAGAAGTCCTATTAGACTTCCAAGAGATGACGTTGAGAGGCAGTGGGTATTTGAGTCTGGAATACAGGATGGAGGTCTGGATTGGAAATAGCAGTTTGGAACTTACCAACTTGTAGAGAACACATAAAGCTCTAAGGCTGTTGGGGGCGGCAGCAGACAGTAGCAGAGGCCAGAAGACTGAGCCTCAGGGGTGCTGTGTGCCAGCACTCAGGGGCTGGGACTGAGAAGACTGGCCAGGGCCGTGGGAGGAAACCAGAGCAGCCTGAGAGCCAGGAAGCCCCAGGCCGTGCGAGGAGAGGACAGAGCTGCCCGTGGAGTCAGCACCTGGTGGGTGGTGGGGGACCCTGTCATGAGCAGTTGCAGTGAGTGGACACTCTTGCTTGGGTGGAAAATGAGAGGAATCAGAGGAAGCGAATGTGAACAGCACCTTTGCAGGGGCAGGAGGCGTGTGTGCCGGAGAGCAGAGAGATGGGGCCGCAGCTGGAGGGTGAACGCATCTTTGTTTCTTAAGATGAGGGAAATAACAGTGTATGCTAATAGAAAAGATACGTTAAAAGGGTAAATTAGTAACACCACAGTCACTTAGGTCAGGGGAGTTGCAGGTGGGGGCACAGAAATGCCCCTGAGAGAGTCAGCTTGAAAACACTTGCCAGGTCCAGTCCACTCAAGACCAGCTCCTAGGAGTGTCAGCCACTTAGGAACTCTCCCGCCCTGTAGTTTTGATCCTGGCAGGGCCAGAAGCCGTAATTAGCCAGCTGAGGGAGGAAGGATGGAGTTTGGCAGGAAGAAGAGGCCTGCCCTGCCTCCCCCCACCTCCTGCAAGTGGTCATCCCGCAGCGTGGCCTCGCTGAGTAACTGACGTGGTGTTTTCATAGTCACGTGGTTAAAACGTTCTCAAATGTTATATTATGCTCCCAAATAAACCTTGGATTGATTCAAGGTTTAATTGGTGGAAATAAAAGCAAAAAATAAAATAAAGTGAAGAAAGCACGTAAACATAAGGCTGAGGGTAAACATAAGGGTCGCAGGCGTGCGGAAACACGTTTCCATTTCATCTGGAGAGCGTGTGTTGGTTGCTCAAGTTTGTACTTAATGATACATATTGCCATAATCTCTGAAACCATGAAAACAGCTTTCTGCTGTTTGCATGTGGCTAAATTCCCTGGAGACTGGCTGGGGCCCAGAGGGATGGGGAAAGGAATAAACTGAGGGATAAGGAGATACAGAGATTTTTGGTGGGGAGCTCTCTGGGGGACTAGGCCTTCAGCCTCCTGTGGTTCCACCCCACTCTAACCGCAGTTGCATACAAACATGGCTTTCTCAGGGGCAAGCCTCACTTCTGGAAATGTCCCAAAACACTCAGCCACCCAGCACCAACATTTGAAAGGAATCCAAAATGGCCCACAAGCAATCAGAGAGATTTGAAATGCCTTAGGCTCCCACGTGCGCACCGGGCACACTGGGCCTCTCGGCCTCTGTGCGCACTCACAGGGACACTGGCTCTGGAGGGACAGTTGATGGACAGTTGAAGGTCAGTGCTGTTGCTAGGCTACGAGTGTTCCGGACCAAACATTCCGAGCCGTTGAGCTTCGCAGCCAAGGTGTGGAAGCGAGACCTCTGTGGCTCTTCTGTAGCGCCAGCGCTGAGATCGGGAGGCGGCAAGAGGCCAGGAGGGAAGTGAGCGGTGTCGGAAGGCGATAAGCCAGATGAAGAAGAGACTCGCTAAGTTTGTGAGCTGGGTGGGCTTCAGCGCCCTTCAGGGAGAGCGCAGGGATCATGAGCACCCCGTGCCTAGGTATCCCATCCGTAAGCACGAACTAAAGAAGTTCCACAAAGCCGCATATCTTGGCGATCTGGACACAGTGGAGGTGTTGCTGTTACGTAAGAAAAATGTCGTACACAGCAGAGACAAGAAGGACAGGTAACAGGGGCGGGGCGGGCCTGGGAGGAGCTGCCAAATAAGGTTGTAAGACATGAATTTTAGATTGCCTTCCCATGTCCAAGATGTTGAAGTGTGAGACAATGAGCATGTTAGAATCATTGAAGTACAGTGTTCTCTCTCATCCTTGCAGCAGCAAAGTAGATATAGTATCATTTTACTTAATTGAAATGTTGTCTTTGTAAAATAGTAATGGTAACAATTATAGTATTACCTAACAATTATTGAGCTGTTATTTTGTGCAAGGAACTGCCAGACATTTTGCATAGCTTTTCATTTAAGCATCACAGTGGGGTCCTGTAAGATAACTACTACTTCACGCCCATTTTGTTGATGAGGAAATTGAGGCAGAGACAGACTAAGTGAGAGCTAATAAGTGACAGTGTTAAAGGAGAAGTCAGACCCAAGTTGAGCTGAATCTCAACGGCATGCCGTTTGTATTCAAACAGGTAGTTCTTCCATTAATGTGGTGAGTACTAAGGGCTAATGAATATTGTTCTTTCCCCATAGAAAGAACTAAGATAAGAAGACTAAATGTTAGTTTTAAAGGGGTAGGAATAGCATGCTGTTGAATGTTTACAATTACATGAGTAACTGTATCTTTGAACTAGTGAGCTCTGATTTCCTAAAAAGTCCTCTCATGTTCGCAGGACTGCCCTACACTTAGCCTGCACCAGCGGCCAGTCACCAGTGGTGACTCTCCTTATAGGGTGGCGTTGTGATCTGAATGCTCGTGACAAGGAAGGCAAGACAGCTCTCATCAAGGTGTGTAGCAGCCAACTGTGTCCATGTGAGAGGGATTTGATTTAATTACTTAGAATAAAAGTGAATTTATCTGTTTTAAATATAACGAACTGCTGGGACTTGAGGAATGTTAACTTGGAATGCCTAGCACTTACAGTCTGTTTCTTGGTGTGATACCAACAGGCTGTACAATGCCAGAAAGAAGTGTGTGTCAGTATCCTGCTGGAACAGGGTGCTGACCCCAATCTTGCGGATGACTTTGAAAACACTGCTCTGCATTACGCCGTCTTGGCTGGAAATACATCAGTTGCAGCAGAGCTGCTCCGCTATAATGCAGATATCGAGGCGATAAACAAGGTATAGCTCAACTGACTTTTATTTACAAGATATTTGAAATACAGGGTCTTTTCTAGCTATAGGTGTTTTATTTATAGTAATATGTTTACTGAATACAATACATCAGGCCCTGTTATCATGGAAACAACTCCAAAGTCAAGGCCAGGGGCTAGAGGTAGTGCCCACAGAAAGGGCAGAGCTGTGTCTCCCAGCCACACTTGTACCCCAGAAGGAACAACTTCCTGTTAGGAAGTGCCTGGGAGTGGGTGGTAGGCTCATAGCCTACAGAAGATGAAGGCTTGCGGGGAGTGAAGTGATGGCAAGGGCGGGCTGCCTGCCTGGGGATGGGTGGGAGGAGGAAGGAACCCAATACCCAGCAGGGGGTGCTGAGTGACTGCACCTGGGCAGGGGAGGCAGCAAGCCACAGGCCCTGAGCACCCCAGGATCCCAGGTTCTAGAATCTGGGCAAGTGAGGTCAGGTCATGTTTGACAGCCAGCAGGGGCATTCATTTGTGCTGGTGGCCACATGGCCCTCCATGTACACCTTCACCTTGGGGTCTTCCACGCTCAGCCTGGTGTAGCTGCCCTGCGGGGCTGTGGCTGTAGGTGGGGAGCAAGTGATGGCGCAGCTGGTCCTCCTGCTTTTCCTCCTGGCTCTCCCCTGAAGATTTTGATTGAATAAATGTACTCAGGTCTAGACACAGGTATTTAGAAATACTTCCTTGAGATTCTGATACAACCCTTGGTTAAGGACTACTGAATGGATACGTGTAATGCATGTAAAATCACAGATCTCAAAAATAAGACGTCTCTCGAAGAGCAGGGGTTTGATAGATGCTGCTTCTTTCAGTGCTCTCCTTTCCAGCCGTGTTAGCCTGACTTTTATCCGTCTCTTCCTGGCAATATTACTGGCAGCATCTATTGCCTTGAAGAATAGCTCCTTTTCCTTTCTAACCACTGATCATTCAGTGGCACTCAGTCTTAGAAACTTGCTTGTGGTGAGTGATTCAATAAGTAGAGTCGGACCCTTTATAAAGATTTTGCACCTTTTTCCCCATCCAGGTCATTAGGTCAACAGGGTTTTTCTGATTGCAATAATAAGAAATCATGAGCCTTCTTTTGGTTAAAGCTGTGTAACGGACTCTTGCAATATATCTGTTAGATTCACTGAGCCTTAGCATAATCAAGATGACAGTTTTTTTTTAAATTAAAGTCTAATTGAATTACAGTGTTGTGATAGTTTCTGGTGTACAGCAAAGTGATTCAATGATATATATATTCAGTTATATATATCCTTATTCACTTATATAAACATTCTTAGTTATATATACTTATTCAGTTATGTATATTCTTATTCAGTTATATATATACTCAGTTATATATATTCTTATTCAGTTATATATATTCTTATTCAATTATATATATATTCTTACTCAGTTATATATACATTCTTAGTCAGATACATACACACACAGACACATTCTTTTCCCTTATGGTTTATTACAGGATATTGAGTGTAGTTCCCTGTAGTATATACAGTAGGACCTTGTTGTTCATCTATTTTATATGTAGTAATTTGTATCTGCTAGTCCAAAACTGCTAATTTATTCCTCTCCCACCCCCTTTCCCCTTTGGTAACCATCAGTTTGTTTTCTATGTCTGTGAGTCTATTTCTGTTTTGTAAATAAGTTCATTTGTATCGTATTTTAGAATCCACATATTAAGTGATATCCTATGGGATTTCTCTTTCACTTTCTGACTTACCTCACTCAGTATGATAATCTCTAGGTCCTTCCATGTTGCTGCAAATGGCATTATTTCATTCTTTTTTGTGGCTTTGTTGTATTGCATTATATATAAGTATACCATGCAAGATGGCAGTTTTAAACATCAAGACCCATGACATTAGTAACAAGTTGGAATTGTTCTAATAATTTAGTTTCGGCCATCTCATGAACTAATTATCCATTTGATTAACAATTGGGGAGAATTAGATACAGGTAGATTGTAGTTTTAGTAGGCATTGGAAAAATTCTTGAAGCAGTTATTATGAGCCTTTTTAAAATGTATTTATTTTACAACCTGTTTTTTTAATTGAGGTGTAGTCGATGTACTATATTGCATGTTACAGGTACACAGTTGAGTGTTTCACAGATTTTTAAGGGTTAGGCTCCACTTAGGGTTATTATAAACTATTGGCTCTATTCCCCATGTTGTGCAATACATCCTTGTACCTTATTTTATGCCTGATTGTTTATACCTCTTAATCTTTAATCCTAATTATCCATTTGATTAACAATCAGGGAGAATTCGATACAGATAGATTGTAGTTTTAGTAGGCATTGGAAAAATTCTTGAAGTGGGTATTATGAGTCTTAATCACAATTTTTATTACATGTTGGGGCCCAGTGTTTTTGTGCATAAGACATATGATTCTAAAGAAGGGCAAGGTTTTACATACAAATACTTGATTTATACCCAACTGTTTGGAAGCACAGCAAACATAAAAACACAAGTGGGCTATAGACCAAACATGCCTGGATATGTTCAGTTTGTCTCCACACATTGAGTCAACATTTAAAATTTAGGAGACTTGTGCAGAAATCTACACTTCAGAACTTCTAAAGAATCAAATCTGGTCCCCCTTGAGCCCAGGCTCCTATGTGGTCTGCTCTGCAGAGGTGGCCCCTTCTCGGTGGGGCGTGTGTTCTCCAGTTTGCTGTCCTCACTTGTGACCTTCACTTACTCGAGCCACCTATGTTGCCTCTGTAAGCATTTGAATTTCAATTCCTGTTGTATATTTTGATAAATATATCAAGATTTTAAAGACAGTCTATATTAATTTATAGTCTACTTTGTATTTTATAATAATCCCTTAAGAGTGGGATGGAATTTTTCAAATTAGAATTTATAAGTTGGTTTAAGAAACACTTTTTCTTTACATGCAAATAATCATATTCCCACTGGAATGTCTGCAAGCTTTATGAGATTAGTCGTAGTGGTAATTGGATCGGTTATGCATGTTGCAGACAGTATGGTATCTTTCTCCTCAGCGTGGCTCCTTAGAAGTGTAGTTGATTCAGTAGCTAAGTGGTTCTCTCTGGAGCAGTGTTTAGAGTGTCGGGAGTAGTAGTTGAGCAGTAAGGTAACTAGAGAATGCCTGACACACGCTGCAATAGAAGTGAAGATTCTTGGAACCAGCAAATGTCTGAAGTGAGTTTCGGAGAGTGACTTCACAGGGAAACTTTGGAAGAGGTCAAGGAGGAACCTTTTAAAGAGAAGGAGCACAGAGGGGTGAGGAGGAAGGGGCTACTTTTTATTTACTTTATAGTGTATGTTTAAGTTCAAAGACTTAAGTTTTTAAATTCAGTTTTGAAATTTATATGTAATTTTGTACATTGTAAACTGTTTTTACTATTTTACAGTATAACTTGACACCATTTTTACACGCCGTCCGGAAGAACAAAGAAGAAATGGTCAAATTTTTGATAGAGAACGGGGCAAATGTACATGCAGTCGACAAGCTGCAAAGGTACAATAGTTTGTTCTCTCTCTCTCTTTTTTTTTTTAATCTTAATGTTGTTCTAGAATAGTAACAGCCAATCAGAAAGATTAACTTAATTAAGAAGAGGATTCACTTAGAATCAACACATCATCAGTTAGGTAGAAAAGCAATTATTCTGCCTGGTGTCACAAAGAACAGTATGCAGCAGGATTCATCTTCCTTTATGGTAGTGACTGATGTCATTTGCAGCCTGATTTTTTTGGTCATACGATCTTACAGTAGTTCAGGGATTTCATTTTAGTTTTATTAGTATGGACTCTAATTTTTATTTACCTTATGAGACAGTGTTGAATTTCTTCATTCTTTTATAATTTGTTTTAACCTCTTCTTGGTATATATTTCTTTCTTAAAAGATGCATATGAGACAAAGAGGAGTTTGTTTTGTCTTTTGGATGACTCTGCTTTAAATTACTTTCTTTGAAGGATACTGATGTTATTAGGTTCTCACTAAGTGAGTATGACTAAGAGAGTAACTATGACCAGATACTGTGGGCTCATCAGCTTTTATCCTTTTTCATTTCTAGTACACTTTGATGTTTTTATTTTTAATTGATAATGGTAGAAGGAAGAAAAATAGCTTTAGTCATTGAATAAACATTCCCTTCAAAGAAGACAAGTCTTTGGTGGATGATAAAGAGGAAAGAGCTGGGCTTTAGAGTCAGACGAGGTTGAATTCCCAGCTCTCCTGCTGGCCAGGGGTGTTACCTGGGGGACATGACTTACTACCAACCAGTATGTTTCCTGACACGTAAGGGAGGGTCGTAGTCCATCCTTCAAGGGTGGTTGTGCCTGAGAAAGACCATACGCAGACTCTTCAGGTTAGTGCCGGGCACATGCTCCTCAGCGTGATTCACTGCAGCCGTGACTATTTTTGTTGCCGTTTTTATTCATATTACTGTTTTCAGCCTGCAAACAGCTTCTCCTTACTCGACCTCTAGCTGATTTTCAAGTATTAAATGTTTCAGACGAGGGAAGAAATGGGGAATCCTTTATTTAAACCTTTACCTACTTCAGATAAGTGACCTCAGCGTCCTTTCTTGTCCTTCAGAGGACTTTAAATTAGCCATTTCTACTGTGTGCTACCCAAGTAGGACAGGAGGCTTCTTTTTTGTCCGTCCGTTTTGGCCTTGGAGGTCATTTGCAGAGATGAGCGCTCGAGCATGTACATGGTCAGTTCTCCGGGGGTGGGCAGGAGATTAACTTGGTAAAATAGATCAACTTAACTGTCTAAGTTTAAGCTAACTAAGTTCCTAAGAGTGAAGTTGTCTCTTTTATTTTAGATCAGCACTGATGCTTGCCGTACGTCATGACTCACCGGACATAGTCAAGCTGCTTCTTCAGAAAGGTGTTAATGCCGATTTGCTAGATGTACACGGACAGTCTGCTGAACAATATGCTTCTTCTAATGGTTTTAAACAGTAAGTGTTTACATTAAAGTGCCAGTTATCTCTAAACTGAGGTTGGAAATGACCTAACTGTGACTTGTTACGTGACAGGTGAGAGTTCCTAGTTGGGAGCAGGCACTTTGGGGATGGCAGTGAGACCCTCCACACCATCAGCTGGAAACCAGCAAAAGGCCAGACTAGTGAGATGGAGCAGTGGGCACAGGGTTCTTTATCTCAGGGTTTGTAAGACATTCATCCTTAGGGTCCTGCTGTCTTCCATTTCATCCCAGTGTAACCCCAATGCATGGGGTACAAATAATGTCACATTTCTGAGTTTTCTAACTAGTTGTTTGGGTCTTGAAATGTTTAGTAGAGCAGAAAATCCTGTATTTTCCTTTGGGGACTTTCTTCTGTAATCGTGCTCTTGAATTTTCCAGGAACCTAAGGGATTCCCTGAGGCCACAGTGACAGTCCTCTCCCACAAGGCACTGGGGCAGGGCGAGGGCATGCTAATCGTTCTCGTTTCCCTTGATTCTGTTGCTGCAGCGTTGGTACTAAAACTGGTTTTAACAGGATCTCTTCGGCAGCTGGGTCTGGGGTCTGGATGTTGCTCTCTAAAGACCTTTAATAAAATTTTAAAAGAAGAAAAGGAAAAAGAAACCGGTCCTGCAGTCGGGTCGTGACTGACCTCTGCTCCCGGGACGCCCGTGCTGATCCAGTTTCCGCGGTCTTCGTGGCCATCGACACGTAAACTTCTGCGTGACGGCTTGTTTAGTTCTCATACATACGCTTGTATGAGATCATAGGTTTATAAAGAAGTTTAACTACAAGTTATATAGTAGCTGAGGTGCCCTGAAGTATAAACCACGAAGAACAGCTAATCACCGTAATTTGTAACATTTTCTGAAAACTGCCACATTTAAATGTTACACCTATGAAAAAAACACATTTATTTGGGATTCTCAAATAGTTCCAGCATTAAAGTTCAAGGACAAATTATTCCATTCTTCCACTATTTCTCTGAGCATATGGGGGATACATTATCTCATTAAATCTTCATAATACTCTTACGAGTATTAATAACTAACTGCCTAACAAGACTGTAAGATCCCAGTTTTATAAAGGGAGACTTTGAGCTGAAGGAGAAAGAAGCACCTTGTCCAGGAACAAATAGCTGTTGGTTATAGAGCTGGGACTTCTGAGTTTGAGATAACTTTCCTTATGTCAGGCTCGCTCTCGTTAACTTACTGAGCTGTACTGCCCTCAGTTCATGACTGCTTCACCTTACTTTTTTCTTTTTTAATTACACATCCTAAATTTAAAAGTATAGATTGTACAGATTTGAAATATATGGGACAATTGAAGTTTTGATATTACCTGTGGTATTGTCTGAAATAATCTAAGAATTTAATATATTTGGTAATTGTTTTTCATATTTGTATTCAAGTAGTAATATTTATTTATCACTGTTTTTATACATAGCCTTTACCAACTGATTGTCGACTACAGAGCCAGAAGGATACCAAATACTCCCCCTCAAAATAGCGACCTAGGACAGAGTTCAGGTAATAAGTTACTCTTGTTGGGCCTACCATAGATAAAGAAAGTAAGATTGAGGAACTTTTGATAATGAAAGAGCAGTGAAGAAAGCCAGTGTGTAAATTTCATGTATGTTTTTATTTTTTTCATTAATTTTTTCTTAATGGTCTAGTATTCAGAATTATTTAAGAAGTTAATTGTAGGTAATGTAAAATCTGAGACCATATTGTCTGAAAAGAAATTCATTTATTTAATCATGGCCCCTGAAATCCCATATTATATCTTTGTGTAAATAAGAAAAATAGGGTTTTAACTTTGTACATTTCCTGTAACATTATAACAAGTTGGCCTTGTTACAGAACTGGCTCTTTAATTTTTACAGCAAAAGGATTACATCGGGTAAATGAATGCTAGTTATTGCTTAGTGATTAGTCTCACTAAAAAGTGATTGTCTTTAAAACTGGGAGCTCAGCATACACCTTCCTGGTGCTGTAAACAAATGGCCAACAATTAGAGCTGCACAGCTGGGCCAGTGTGCAGCATACTGCACACTG